TCCTTGGAATTCTGAGTTTACATCTCGCAATTCTGACTTTTTTTTTGGAATTCTGAGTTTACATCTCGCAATTCTGACTTTTTTTTTGGAATTCTGAGTTTACATCTCGCAATTCTGACTTTTTTTTGGAATTCTGAGTTTATATCTCACAATTTTGACTTTTTTTCTTGGAATTCTGAGTTTACATCTCGCAATTTTGACTTTTTTTCTTGGAATTCTGAGGTTACATATCGCAATTCTGACTTTTTTTCTTGGAATTCTGAGTTACATCTCGCAATTCTTACTTTTTTTCTTGGAATTCTGAGTTTACATCTCGCAATTCTGACTTTTTTCTTGGAATTCTGAGTTTACGTCTCGCAATTCTGACTTTTTTTTTGGAATTATGAGTTCACATCTCGCAATTCTGACTTTTTTCTTGGAATTCTGAGTTTACGTCTCGCAATTCTGACTTTTTTTTTGGAATTATGAGTTCACATCTCGCAATTCTGACTTTTTTCTTGGAATTCTGAGTTTACGTCTCGCAATTCTGACTTTTTTTTTGGAATTATGAGTTCACATCTCGCAATTCTGACTTTTTTCTTGGAATTATGAGTTTACATCTCGCAATTCTGACTTTTTTCTTGGAAGATGTTGGTGTTTGTTGTCTTTCTGTCTCAAGGAAGGAAAGAGTGGTCGTAGAATTTATAATTTGTTTTGCAAATGATTCGTGACACAAGTCTCTCTGTGCCAAGCCCACCGATCATGAAGGATTTACAGCTGTTTGGGTAAGATGGTGTGAATTATAGAACAGTAGGTTTGGGCCAATAACATGAACACAGTTATGATTTCGCTCTCACACTGCTTTCATTCCAGCCTCTGTTGGTCGGGTGATTCAGTGATGGCTGCAAGTAAATTTGATATGGCAGAACTGTGGCCTATATCCTACTTTTGTTATTTGAGTTATGTTAAATAATTAAATGTAATAATTGGGATTACAAAGTCTCTTTCAAATTGCAATCGGCTTTATGGAAAACAATAGAAAAAATTCCAAGAAATTATTTTATTGCAATTTGAAAGAGGAACAAAAACTCCTGTTCCATAATTTTTTTTCCAACCGCATCTGTATTTTTATTCTATCTGCCTTTTCAGATAAACTGAAATTGTTGATACAATCCTACTACATCCTACTAATTGCACTGTATCATTTTATTTCTGTAATTTTTACATTTTTCCCCGTCTTTATTTCTTTCCTTCTTATTCCTATATTTAAATACATTTTATTCAAATGTATCTGTGTAACAAATAATGGCAGCTGAAATGAATAACGCATTATTTGACTGCAGATTAAAACATTTTTACACAAAATTGGAATAAAAAATGCAAAATAATAAAAACATTTTACTAGATAACTGCATGCTGATATGACAACAATCATGTGACAGCAATCTAGCATTATACTGATTGCACTATTACAAAAAAAATTCCCCATTCTTATTTCTCTCCTTATTATATCTACTGTATGTATTTGTTATTGTCATTTTTCATTTTTTATGTACTTTTATTTTTTTCCATTACTTTTGTTCAATTACCATTGTGAATGAAATGTGCAATATGAATAATTCTTTGCAAAATTGTATTGAATGAAAATTGAATGAATAATGTATTTTGCTGCTTTACAACTGTTTCATAATTGATTAATTTTTCAACATTAACACTAGGGCTGTGTATCACCAGCAAAGTCACGATACGATACGTATCACGAATTATAATTGCACAAATTAACACAATTTCTACATTAAAAAAAAATAAAAATAAAAATGAGAAGAGTTCTAAACTAATGTGCTGTCTTCACTGTATCTAACGCACACACACGCTCAGTCACTCACACAG